TTTCAACTGAATGCAGTTCGTCATCAACTTGTTCAATGAGTATGATGACTATATTATTGAGAAAGAGTATTGAGTTTATTCCATTGTCTATATTCATAACTGCGCCTTGATCAGTCGTTACAGACATTCACATATATCATGTGAGGAATCATTTCGATTTCAATCAATCAACAGCAATGTAGAACTTTGTACGTGCATACATCAGTTCAAGTTGCCGTACCACATTAACACAGAGAGATGCAACTGTAAATTCAAATCCCATAGTAGCAGAGTTGGTAAAAGTATAGGCAGTTATCAGAGAGATTAAGGTTCGAAGATAATATTCGAGGAGTACAATCCAATGAAATGAACATAAAAGGAAGAAAATAAAGGTGGTGGGTAATTCAGAAGATTAGAATTTGAGAGAACATAAAGAATGGGTGCAAATACGATACTTTAAACTATTTTTAGCCATGTCGTTCAAAGTCTCTAACTATCATATGATCTAGAATCTTCTCACGCATATTATAAATATCTCAGTCAAATAGTATGTCATTTTTTATCACATGAAAATATTTCTCACTATTCCTAGTCGGCTAAATTATTCACTTGACAGAGTTACGCATCATTTATTTGTTCAGCTCATATCCTGTTTTGAATTATAGTATGAGAGTTGAACAGGTACATTGTTGATCATATCATTAGTACAATAAAGTTTTAATAAATGGTTTTTTAAATGCACAACTTGTTAATAAAAAAAATGATAAATATTACTTACATTTCAACTGTTTATAAACACTTTTAGACATTTCTAGCCATTGCTATAAAATAATGAAATAAATTGACAAAAAATAAAGTCAGTCAACATCATGCAAGATTCGATTAAGTGTAATTCATACTTATTATGTAAGTTTTTTAGAATGATATACGTGTTATCTTAATGAAAGTGGTAATAACAATAATAATATTTAAATTTGGTTTTTTTGTTCTTAAACTAATCAAAATGATTGAAGTTAGCAATTAAAGTTTTTTTTTTTAAAGATACCTAATTCCAACTGGATCACTGCTACAGTTCGTTTTAGTTTCAAGTCTGAGTAAAGGTGGAGCTCTGAGTACAGGGTTAGTTATCTGATCTAGTGAAAAAACAGAACCATGCTGAAAAAACAATGCTAATCAGAAAGAATAATTTTAAATTACCAATAAAGGGAAATCATTTATTCACAACGCTGGGCCAAGAGATAATGGAGAATACGGTGAATGACATTCACACATGCGGTGAATACACAAATTTATTCGCTTCTATCGAATCCCATCGAAATTAATAAAGTTTTAGCGGTGATTAAGTGACAGTCGATTTTTAATGACTTTACCCTGAACCCATCTAAATGTCAAAATTGTTAACTTTTACTTGAGATATGACGAATAATGAAACATCCTGTTGGAATTACAAGAAATTTTTATTATTGGGAGTATCATTTACCCTACTGCATATTTTTCAAGTGTTCTTTCTTGATATTTTCATGTTTTGTCATTGCTGATGGTTATTTTTCGTCTAACTTATTATGGCAAGAAGTCATGTTCGATCATAAATAACAGAGCAAACTAATTCACAATTGCTTTATGGGGTTGTAGAGATTGTTAGTTACTCATTGAAATCATGATATGATCAATGTTAGAACACCAACATTAGAAAGTTGGAAGCACTGGACGGACGTTTCATCCTGGCATGGGACTCATCAGCAGTGCGCAGTCATGACTCTTGCACCTCGCAGAATTCAAACCCAGGACCTTCGTTCTTGCGCGCGAACGTCTAACTTTTAAAACACTGAGCCGGTATCTAACGGTGTTAATGTCTATTTTCGATCAATTCATGGTCTTGTGCAACCTCATACACTTCTTAATAGAACTCAGAAATGACTCCCCACGGAGCTAGTCCCAAATGAGCACAGGTACTCGAGTTGTGGATGCACACTGCTGACAAGTCCTATACCAGGACGAAACAGCCGTCCAGTGCTTCCAGGTTTCTAATGGTGGTCTAAAATTGATCGATTCATGATTTCAATGATTCACTACTCTCCTACTATAAATGTTTAAAGATAGAAACTGTAGATAAAAGATAAAAGCTAAATTACATTTATAAAAATCTTACACGTTGTTTAGAACGATCCAGATAACGTAGACCAAAATAATCTTTTTCAATAATTCCACCTAATCGTTCTATCACTTGATTGAATAATACACGACCAAGACAATCATTCTATGTATAAAGAAAATATATAAAATAAAGTTTAAGGAAAATTATCGATTAATTTAGTAATATTGGTCAGAACTTCTACAATGTACAGTTTGATTTGCTTTACTTCAGGAGTTTGAAGCAGTATCACTCAGAATAGGGAATATTCGTAGTTTACTAGTATAATTACAGAATAATGAGTGAACATTCTCAAAGTAAAATCAACAATACTTAGTGAAGATGGCAAACAGGCTGATAAGGTAATTAATCCCTATTATCTGAGGTGGCTGAGACATATATTACATATGCCCATACACTACTTACCTTGAATGATTGTGATAAATGGTATAGTAGTAGTAGTAGTAGTTGTAGTAGTAGTAGTAGTAGTAGTAGTAGTAGTAGTAGTAGTAGTAGTAGTAGTAGTAGTAGTAGTAGTAGTAGTAGTAGTAGTAGTAGTAGTAGTAGTAGTAGTAGTAGTAGTAGTAGTAGTAGTAGTAGTAGTAGTAGTAGTAGTAGTAGTAGACCGGAAGAAAGCTGGGGATGAGCCATTTAAGCTTTACATCGATCCATGAAGTTACTGGCAATCGGAATGAGCTGTGTAGGCCTATTTAGTCTATTTTATAGGAGTCTGTATGATGATTGTATGAGGTGGTTGAGGACCACTGAGTGACATGGCTCGAAATCTATCAAAATTACACTGATACACTCATCTTTGTCTTCTCTTAGATCCTGACTAACAAAATCCTCTTATACTTTTTTTTCTGTCTAACATTTTACATTACTACTGATACTTAAAATACTTCTTCTACTCTGGAATTTGTTCAGCGACAATAAGGACTGGTATATGTCAAGTATGAAACTACTGCCTCAATATTCCCATTTGACTACAAATGTCTGTTGTGTATCTCAGGATTACTTTACAAACTGAGATAAGAAACCAATAATAAATTATCATTTCCAATCTCAAGCTATTAAGTTACCATAATAAATTAAATCAAATCTTTTCAACTATGAAGTGTATTCAACCATAGAAAATTTAAAAAAATCATTGTTTAAGTAACTAATTATTATACTGGTAATGTGAAAAGAATATAGACATGCCAACCAACTAAAACTAATCATAATCTTATCCAAATATCAACAATGAGATAATACAAAAAATTACATATCAAATTCAAATGAAAAATGTATTAAACTTTCAATATTTAAGTGACTAGGTTCTTCGAATCCTAGACTTGATATCAACTTCAGAATACAAAACACATCTTATTGACGAATCAGTAACAGGAAAAAATGTATATTCTGAAATCAAATACTGGTCGCAGTCCATATATTCCGTTTAAATATAGTTCTTAATACTTCAACAAAGGTAACAGTACTATATTGGTCACACTTCATTTGAAAGACAATTAGTATACTAAGAGGATTTATCACAAATTGTCGTGATAGTTTTACAGGTAATAATACTAATAATTGTATTAAGTACAGAAAATGATATACTTGTAAACTTTTCTTAAAATATAGTTCATATGATTTTTCAGTTAGAGTTGTGGAGATCAGTCTTTTTACACGTTAAAATCATCAATCAATCATCAGTAGGGCACTGATGAGTCCCATAACAGGACGAAACGGCAGTCTAGTGGTTCCAGGTTTTTAATAGTAGTCCAGCAATGGCTGATTGATGATTTTATCGTATATATTATATGCTAAAAAACTCTACCTGGAACCATTCTGCGGTTACTGACGATCCAAGGCCGGATAAAGGAGGAGATTTGGACATGGGGTTAGTGACCTCATTCCGTAAAACGTGACTGGTTAAAAACGCTGGACACAAAAAATAATTCAAACCATTTAAACTCTGCTCTGATAGTTAGAGGGTCTACATGATAGAAGTCACCGGATGTCACGTGGCCGATGCTCCTTCTGACAATCAAAGCATCCAATAATAAAGATACACGGAAAGCACTCAACTGGATCACAAAACAAACTCTCACTTGAATATTTGAGGTGAAAGGAAAAGAGGAAAACCAAAAAAACTTTTTATGCCGAGAATTGGAATCAGACATGAGAAGAATGAGCAGCAATTGTGTTAAACTAGGAGGGAACATCCAGGACAGAAGAGGTTGGAGAATACTGGTCGGCAGTTTATGCTCCATTAGGAGTAGACAGCTTAAGTTAGTAAGTAAGTAATATTTTCAAAAGTACATAAAATTAATAAACTACCATCCTACAACGAACGGTTACACCTTATTACTAAATTTTTCCCTTTTTTATTATTACTATAAATGTTATTAACAATTGCACGGTATAATTATAACTTTAACAGTTAATTATTTTAAAATTCTGATTTTAAAACTGTTAGAAAATTACACTTCACAATCAGTTAGTGAATTATAATCGAAATAGAATTCAACCAAAATGTTTTTTTCTCATCCAAATTCTCATATACACACAATAACGCAACTATGATGAGTTGAATAAAATCAAATAGTTGAAATAATAATGATCCAATGGTTAGCCGTTCGCGCACAATACTGAAGGTTCCTGGTTCGAATCCTGCGAGGAGCAGGAGTCGTGGATGCGCACTTCCACTGATGAGTCCCATACAAGGACGAAACGGCCGTCATTCAGTGCTTCTTCTAGGTTTCTAATGGTGGCGATCTAACAATGATTGATTGATGATTTCAAATGTGTAAAAATAACACGAACCTCCAAAACTCTGCCCGGAAATAATAATAGTTTAATAATGTTAACAAGAATATAAAGATAAATCAATGTGCTTGCATCAATTTGACTGGTTTCTGATTAATTTCAATTTTTTTAAATGAAATTATGATTCTTTTTGCTTAACTGAAGCCTAGTTTTGTGTTATATCACTTTCATTGAGAAATAATCACTTGTGAAATTTTAGTCTAATATCTTTCATTCATAATTTTACTTTTTACTTACACCTGTTACCCTCAATCGACCACCGACCAGAATTCTTTAGCCTACTATGTACTGAACCTGCTTTCTCAGTTCAGTCCAATTAGTGTTCATTCTTCTCATGTCTGTCCCCGTTTCTTGGCGTAATGTATTCTTTGGTTTTCGTATTTTCCTTTGGCCTGGGGGATTCCATGTGAGGGCATGTCTTCTGGCTCAAGTGGATGTTTTCCTCAATGTATGTCCTACCTTGGTGGGCGGCCTATGCTTCATTGGGGGTAACAGGAGTAAGTGAGTAAGTAAGTAATTAATGTCCTGTCCACTTCCCGAGCTTCTTCCTAATTTCTTCCTCAACTGGAATCTGGTATGTTCTCTCCCACAATTGGTTGTTGCTGATGGTGTCAGGCCCACATATCTGAAGTATTTTGCGTAGACATCTGTTAATAAACACTTATATCTTCTGGATAATGGTTTTCGTAGCTCTCTAACTTTCCGCCCCATACAGTTGAAATGTCTTAACATTTATACTGAAAACTGTGACTTTGGTTTTGAGTTGCAGATGTTGTTCAGTTGTAGTAATGCTGTCGTTGCATTGCCAATCCGCGCCTTCATATCTGCATCAGATCCAGATTTCTCGTCAATGCTGCTATCCAGATATGTAAACGTTTTTATGTCCTTCAAGGCATCTCCATCATTCCCAATTACTTTCGCTTAAAAACTAATCATTTACAACAATCAACTCCTCCTGCAGCCCTGCTAGTATTACTTCCGGTCCCAGATAAAGGAGGAGAGTTAGGCATAGGGTTAGCGACCCTATCTCCCATAGAAATCCAAATTGCTAAAAACACGCTAACCAAAAAAAATAAATAATTCACTGATTGGCGGCCTATGCTTCATTAGGTGGTAACAGGCGTAATATATGTAAGTAAGTAATTTGCAAAAATTCAATAAGTTTGTATTTTAAAAATAATTTAAAAAAATAAATAAAAAAATTTTAGAAGAATTAAATAAATTGAATCGATACTATCTTTTAACTAATAATAACAAACTAAACACCCATACAATACTACTATTGTTACTACTTTCAATATATATAAAAATAATAATAATAAAAAAACTGGGAAAATGTATGTTATTGGAAACAAAAATGTCAACGCTACTCAATTAACCAATAGAATTCAACTTTCCAACCTAATCGATTACTAATAATAAGAGAGAGAGAGTGAGAGCGCGAGAGAGCGTAAGATAAAAAGGTCTAAAAGGTAATTCATTACTATAAGAAAACTCACCAAATTTTTTTTTAAAAAAAAAAAGGTATTACAGAAAAAATCAATGTATACATTTCCTGACACATGAGAAAATTTCTCAAAAACAACAGAACACAGTCATTTGGGTTAATTAATATAAATATCTATAAAGTTATAGTATTTAATAAGATTAATTACTAACACGATATTCATTAGACTGGATGTATGATATATTACTCTACTTGAATAATCAGATTTTGTAAGGAACGAAAAACACGAAACAGATGAAGCACCGAATGTATATAATACAAATTTCTAAAGTTTAACTGTTAAAATCAATGTAGATAAATTTATTTTTTTGAACTTTTGGTACTGTTTCACGTTGATTTGTCAGTATAGAGTTGTGAAGATAGTTGAGTCTCAGTGTGATCATGAATTAATCAATTTTAGATCACTATTAGAAACCTGGAAGCGCTGAAAGACTACTATTTAGTTCAAGTCTGAAACTCGTAAGTAGTGCGCATCGACGACCTCAAAAGCAGGGATCGAACTCAGGACATTTAGTCTGGCGTGTGAACGCCTAAACGCTTGATTACTGAACTAACATCCAACGATCCAAAACATGGCACAATGCCATGAAGTCACAGACAAGTGGACTGAGACATGTTGGTAGATGTAGGCTACCTGGTTGTGGTCAACGAAACGAAAGTAACCGATGGTTAGAAATCTTGAATGACATGGCTCAAAATCGTTTACAATGACGCAGGTGCATCCACTCGTTGTGTTCTCGAAAATTCTAACTTTCTGAATTCCTCATTATCTCTATCTTTCGCTTTCTAAAATTATCTCACTGAATTATACCCTAATGTTCTCCATTACTGCTAACACTTATACTATGTCTAACACTATAGGATTTGAATCGACAGTTGAGTCTCTTTGTGCTAATGCGGTATGGCAACATGAACTTATGTACTCATGTACGAAGTTCTACATTGTAACTGACTAACTAACTGACTGACATCCAACGATATAAATATATGACTCCAATCCATTCACGGATGCGAGTACATAAATTTATAAATAACAAGCTAATTGAATAGTTGATTGACTAGAATACCATCCAGCGGACATAACCAACTACGTAGAGCCATACCGAACGTGGATGTGAAGAAATCAATCCGACAAAACTAGCTCACGAAAACAAATCATATTGAGAATGTCAGCTATAAGTTGTAGAGTGAATATCTAACATGGAATTGATGTACCGTTAACTGACGAATATAAAATAAAACAAAATGTGTGTTCTTCTGTTAATTAACTACATTCCATCTATGAAATAATGGCTACATTGAGGTAATCAACACAGGATATGCACATAAATCAACAAAAAATGGATTGAATTTTAGTCAAAATATCAACAACTAACACTAATCTAAAGCATGATTTTTATGATGACAATACGAATAAAAGTATATCACTTCCCTATTAATCGTATTATTTTACATGTACTTACCAAATCAAGCACAATAAAAGGATAAAAGGATGATTGTCTATAGGTCTTGTCTAACATATTCCAAAACAGCCTGTCTTTGAGAAAACTACGCTGTTTGACTAATATCTAATTTAGTCAGAGTAAAGTGAATACCATGAATACATACATAAAAAGGAACAAATAAACCGATTTCTGATGATAAAAGTTAAGTAAGCCAAAGTAATTTACAAATCGTAAATATAATCTTTGTATACAGTTGAATTAGTAGTTAACCTTCATCTGCTTTATTAAACAGAGTATTTTCAGTTGATTATAATGAGAATCCATTAGGTTAATATCGCCGATTTGATATGCTTATAGTTATTAATAGTTCACCTTCCTCGGAAAATGAAACAAAGTTTAACGATACAGTGACACGATAGACTATTCTAAGCCGACTGTCCCAGGCCTCTCTAACTAAAGGAAGAAGTCTAAATCCTTAACATTTTTGTAATCATCAGGTTGTTGAAAATTTGAAGTTTTATCAGAATCATGAATTGATCAATATTAGACTATCATTAAAAAACTGGAAGCCCTTTATGGCAATTTCATTCCAAGCGTGAGACTCATCAGCTATGTGAACCTACAACCACGAAAACAGGAACCAAACCCAGGATATTCGAATTTGTGTGTAAACGCTTAACCTCTCTGAATCACTGGGCCGGCTATTCCCTGCTTTCAGGTTTCCGGTGGTGCTCTAACATTGATTGGTTGATAAATTCAATGAAACCCCTAGATTTTTGTGTGTCATTAAGTAATGAAATTCATCATAAAATATTCGAGAACTGACATTTCATGCATTTATAAGCAACCAGTTTTAAAAATTTAGTTTTTAACTACATTTAGATACTACAGTCCTCAATTTTTATTTTTGTACAGTTCATTTTGTTTAAATTGTGACAGAAAATCCTAGGTTTGTTTCCTAGATGTAGGATAGTCGATTCACACTGCTGAGGAGTCCTGTACTCGGAAAAAACAACCATCGAATGCTTCTGGGTTTCCTATGGTGGTCTAAATAAAATCAGTTCATGATTAAAAATATAAAACTACCACAATTCCTGAAAATACTCCTTATACTAATGGATTCATTTTGTATAAATTTCAACTTACAATACGAACAATTCAAAATGACTAAATTGATTAGTTTGTTGATGAAAACCTGTAGAAAATGTTACGAAATACCTAAATGAATTGATGATATTCTGTAAATTTTAGTCACTTCCTTCCTTTATTAAAACTTCATTAGTAATTAGATTTTAATAACTAATTTATCAAATATATCTTATGTAAGAAAATATATAACATCTTGAGATATAAACATTAAACTAATGTTTTATTGATTTATTCAGTTCGACTGATGGAGATCAGTGTTTTTAAACATTGAAATCATCAATCACTCATTGTTAGACTACCATTAAAAACATGGAAGCATTGGACGACCGTTTAGTCATGGTATTGGACTCATCAGCGGCAGTGCGCATCTACGACTCCTGCTACTCGCACAAATTGAACCCAGCATTTTCAGCCTTTCAGTGTGTAAATCACTGACCTCCATAACTTTATTTGAAAAAATTGTAAAATGTGCTCAATAGTGACTAGCTTCATGAGGAAATTCTCGAAGTTCTAGTGAGAAAACGTGACCAATGGGGTTCAACCCTGTGGGGTGTATGCAGCAGCTACCGAAGACAAATGGGTGGGGTGGCGCAAAATCCCTAGATTAATCCGAGTACCACTTTAACACCTCTGGACGCCGGCTTAGTGGTGCAGATTTTGGCGTTCGCGTGCAGGACCGAAGGTCTTGGATTCGAATCCTGCGAGTTCCATACCAGGACTAAACGGCCGTCCAATGCTTCCAAGTTTCTAATATTTGTCCATCAATGATTGATTGATGATTTCAATGTTCAAACTTTATGATTCATTAGAAAATATATATATTTATATATTTATATTCTTCTGAACAAACTTACTGTAACTTCCATTTGTAATGGTACTTCTTCATCACTCAGTAATTTAATTTCAACCATAAAAAATCCAGCATTCCCATCCATATTTTCATGTGATAAAGTACCAGTTGGTGATTTTGAAGTTAAATTCGATGATGTTGGATGCACTGACCAACTGACTGATGGAATTCGTTCAGAACAATGTTCTGATTGAATTGTCAATGATTTTGTCGGATATGATGTATCTGCGGAATTTGAAAGTGGTTTTGTTGCATTATTGCGAACTTCACTTTGAGATCTAAAATGATAAAAACAATTAAGTAAGTGCTAAATGAATATTTTATTCATAAAATACACAAAGTTTTTATGACCATTACCCGTAATGCAATTACCTGTACCTACTAGTGACTAGCTCCGTGAGGAATCTTTTGCGAGTTCTAGTGGGAAGTCGCGACCAGTGAAGTTCAGTCTGTTCGGATTTAGACAGTAGCTACCGAAGACTGTGTATGAGGTTGCAAAAGAACGTGAATTGATAGGAGTTAGACAGTAACACCGTTAGATACCGGCTCAGTGGCCCAGAGTTCAAGCGTTCGCGCGCAAGACCGAAGGTCCTTCATTCGAATCCTGCGATGTGCAGGAGTCGTGGATGCTCACTGCCACTGATAAGTCCCATGCTAGTACGAAACGGCCGTCCAGTGCTTCTAGGTTTCTAATTGAGGTCTAACATTGATCGGTTCATGATATCATATGTGTAACTTAACAATCTTCACAACCTCGTAATGTATTAATTGGCATACACTAATAATTAATGTGTATACAGAGAATGATAAACACTACCTATGTATAGAATACATGAAATCACACAGTCTATCTAAATGCATTTTTTCTTCAATCAATAACCATAAATTTCTGATTAATGTCATTATTCTAATAATTTTAGATTTAGTCGACCAAACATTCGGTAAAATAATAAATAACATTGTCTATACTACTAATGTCATGTCAATAAACTTAATAAACAAATATCAACAAATCATAAAATATTTAAATGATGCTTTAATAAATAAATAAGTAAATGTGAAAAGAATTTATTTTTTGAATAACATATAACGATAAAAAGTGGATTTGTTAGATAGATAGATAGTTCAGTAACTTTATTTTATAGGAACATATAATTAGAGAGAAAGAAAGAGAACAAAAATCGGTTGATATTACTAATAATAATAATAATAATAATAATAATAATAATAGTTAAAACAGCATTATACATTAAATTCATTGACTAAAAGAAAGTATTCGACAATATAGAGAGGATGACACAATGGAGGCTTCTTCAACACACTATGGTGTGCCTGAGAAGACAGTCAACATCATATGGAATTATTATGATAGATTAAACTGCAAAATCATGCATGAACGGCAGCTCACAGACTCGTTAGGAGTAAAGACCGATGTCAAACAAGGTTGTTTACTCCCACCCTTTCTCTTTCTCCTGTTGGTCAACTGGATTATAAAGACGTCAACATCTTAAGATAAACACGGAATACAGTGTGCATCTTGACGATCTAGACTACGCAGATGATCTAGCTCTTCTATTCCAAACTCAACAACAAAGAAGACGACCAGTGTAGCAACAGCTTTAGCAGCAGTAGGTCTCAACATACATAAAGGGAATAGTAAGATTTTCCTATATAACATAACATGTACCAACCATGTATGTTAAAGCGTTTACATTTCTGGACAGCATCACTGATGATCAAGGAAGATCTGACACAGGTGTGAAGGCGCAAATCGGCAGAGGAAGGGTTGCATTTTTACAAATGAACAACATCTAAAACTCCAAACAATTATCAACGAATGACAAAGTCACAGTTTCTAAAACAAATTTCAAAACAGTTCTACTGTATGGGGCTGAAACTTGGACAATTATCAAAGCCATCATCCGAAGATACAAGTGTTTACTAACAGTTTTGTGATCAAAATAATTTGGACTCGTCGGCCAGAAACCATCAGCAACAACCTGCTGTTGGAGAGAACAGACGAGATTCCAGCGGAAAAAGAAATCAGAAAGAAATGCTGGAAATGGATAGGACACTGTAGGGTTCGTCACTAGGTACGCTTGAAGCTATTACAAGTTCACCTTGGCCGATAAACGAGAACGAGTCCAGACAGGCTACCTTGAATCCCAAAGTAAAGTAAGAAGGCTTTGTAAGCGTAGAAAGTATATTCTACAAACACCCAGCAATCGCAATACAATCACGCACACAACTCTCGTTTATTTATACATCGTAGAAACGTCCTTGGGACAGTTACGAAAATAGCACACTAAAATACACAGCAACCAATGACAGCCATGGATTTTCCTGGTGAGAAATGAAATCTCAAGGTCAGCTGATCATCCCATGCTCGCAAACGTGAAATCCAAAATAAGGCATTTATCAAGCGAGTTCTGGGGATCTAACAGACACACATTGAGGAAATCACACAGCTTCATCAGAAGGCAAGTCCTCAAGGTCGGAGGAAAATAGGAAAGTTTTGGATCACATTACACCGAAAAATGGAGACAAACATAAGAAAAATGAACAAAAATCGGACAGAACTGAAAAGGAAGTCCTAGAAATGAGACTGGAGAATGCTAGTCGCCAGCCTATACTCCATCGGGGGTAACAAGTGTAAATACTTAAGTATAACAATGTTTTATAAAATAGATCATTTGTAACTAGTGGTTGAATTCAAGAAGCATGTCTTATTTTGAATTCTATCAGAATACACCTATATCCCAGTGTTAATATTCACATTAAGAATAGAAACCAGTATTCTTGCATCAGATATATTCAACACATAATATTCACTGAGATACTAAATTCTATTCAAACTCTAACCAAAAATAGTTATGGAAGACAGTTAAGCTCAGAATGATGAGCCATAAAGTAATCTTTATCCATTTAACTAAATTATTAGAATTGACCATTGGTTGATGAGTTATTCAATATAAACATTCTGTAGTACTGCATATAAAAAGCTTATCATTATAATCTCAGATGCATTAAAGTGTTAGTTAAACTGTACTCTTATTATCTAACCAGTATTTAACTATCAATTCAACAAATACAGTTAATTCGATATAAATATATATATATATAATATATATATATATATATATATATATATATATATATATATATATAATCAATAATTTTAGTTATCCTTTCAGGTCATCAAATGGGCAGGTCCATATTTGTAAACGGGCACTACACAGCTTAGATAGATATTTTAAATGTGTAACGATTGATTGAGTCTGGTATGTATATGTACATATATATACATATATATATGCATATTTCAAGTAAATATCTAATAAAGTTCGTCTGAATTAAATCATTTCATCATTACAGGTTGACGCCCAAAGTCAAGTTTTTATTGAGGAGAGAAAAAAACAACAGTATTCTCATAAATTTATTTGCATAAACTTCAAGGCATTAAGTTGTAGTTGAAATTTTAAAGGCGAATTTATTTCACTTGCCATTGAGTTTCATTGAAATTCACCTTTTATGTTTGTGTTTATATGATAAAAAAAACACCCTGTTTCTTGCTTGAAACTATTCTCAATAAGTACAAGCAAAAATGTATATATATAATTATATATATATATATATATATATATATATATATATATATATATATATATATATTCAAACAGACACACACACACACACGAACATAAATATCATTGATTACCTCATAGAAATTGATAACAAACTAATCGATGGGCAATGCAAAGAAAACAAAATATTATCGTTTTTTTCTATCGACAATACTAAAGCAAACTCTTTTATACAATTGTATTTGTAGTTGAAATAATAATCCATGTAACTGATGTCTTATCAATTTACAATTATCATGTCATAATAAAACTAATAATAGAAATGAAATATAGTCTCACTAAAAAAAACTAATATCTCTAAATTAGAGTTATGAAGATTAGTGTTTGTTGTACATTGAGATCATTAATAATCAATTATTGTTAGATCACCAATATTAGAAACCTGGAAGAAGCACTGGACGAGGGTCATTTCGTCCAGGTATGGGAATTGTCAGTGGCAGTGCGCATCCATAACTCCCGCACCTCACTGGATCATAATCAAGGACCTTCGGTCTTGCGTGAGAATGGCTAACGTCTAGACCACTAAGCTGACATCCAACGGTGTTAATGTCTAACTCTGATCAATCTACAAATTTTGCACGACCACATTCATTTGTCTATGGTAGTTACTGTCTACACCTGACAGGGTAGAACTCCACTGATCACGTCTTCTCACTAGAACTCCGAGTATTTCCACAGGAAGCTAGTCACTAGTGAGCATATTTCACGATTTTTCAATTAGAGTTATAGAGAACAGTGTTTGTTGTACATTGAGATCATCAAATAATAGCTATTTCTTTATACTATTTCAGTAGAAGAATTACTAGACATTTCAAAATGAAAATCGAAATCTCTCATTAGCTATCAATGTTGAATGTTCAATAAAGTAAGCGCTTTTTTCAAAGTATATTATCATGCATCTTACTCCAAATAATTAATTCTATGCTATGATACAGATAATATATTCTGATATTAAATTTTCGTTTTCTTAGTAGTATTGACCGACAACATATTAGTTTAATTCTGTAAGTTCTTGGAACTAACCCCTCTTGAAAATTAGATAAATCTAAAAGAAATAAGAATTTATAAAATGTTGAACGAACAATCTTATCTTATGAAATAATAATAAGTTTTCGAGAGATTTACCATAACATTTGAGTTACACATATCATAACCGTTTGTAGAGAAAATACTGTTTGATCTACTGATCAAGTGGTGAAGTAGTTTTCCTGAAGAGTCTTACTCTAAATCGAAACACCCATTCAACAAGTCTTGGGTTTCTATTAGGTGTCTTATTAAGGTCACTTCATAATATGAACTATAGAATTGCATAACCAAAACGTAAACTCATCATACTAAATAAATTTTGGCTGAAATTACTAAGTAAATGAAAACAACATTAGGATAGCGTTATTTCTAAACACCAGAAAGCAAATCAATGATTTTAAATTTCCATTTAAGAAGAACAGTTTGAGAAACATTGAACAATTAGAGTTGTTACAACTTAAACTAAAGCAAAAGT